CGTCTGTGTTTTGGGTTCATGAAGAAGGCCAGACAAGAGATAAATTGCACCCAGACAGAGAGACGACTTCGAGACAATTTGTAACATCTGGTTGTTTGCTCGTGGGTTTTATGGAGGGAGTTGACAACGGAATATACCGTCAGTGATGCACACAAGGACATACGGACACACACATGGACACACCTGCCTACGGACAGATCCTGACACAGCAAAAATCGGAAGCCCCGCCTTGTGGGCGGGATCCAGGGGGATTTTTCAGCATAAAGGAACGGATCCTGAACATTGGAAACCAGTGCGACGGGAGGGTCCACTCAGAAGCTCGACCGGGAGGGTCGACTCAGCAGGAGTGCGACGGGAGGGTCCACTCAGAAGCTCGACCGGGAGGGTCGACTCAGGAACGAGTGCGACCAGAGCGGGTCCACTCAGGAGTGCGACCAGAGAGTCGACTCAGGAGCGAGGGCGACCAGCGGGTCGACCCAGGAGCGAGCTCGACCGGGAGGGTCGACTCAGGAGCGAGCTGCGACCAGCGGGTCGGCTCGACTCATCTTCAGCTCGTCAATCTCTGCTGCCGCCGGAGATCTCCGCTGCCGCCGGTGGTGAGCGTCGCGACTTGGCGACGATCCAGCGCTGCACGCTACGAGCGAGTTGTGGGCGCCACCTACCGACCGGGTTCCGAACTGCGACAGCGTATCAACAGCCATCCGAGCCAATTCACCACGGTGACAGGAGAGCGCCTGATACGTATGACGCGCACCGCCCCCTCACCACACGACCACCAGGCGTCTGTTTGACATAAAGAATCGACTCCGAACACTGACTATTCAAGACAACTCTTACCACTCAAACACACTCGAACCCATAAGTCATCCGTGGCTGGGAAGGCATCACAACGAGACCGAGTGGTGGCCTCCGTCGTATAAGAGTATTCTTAATTTTTATCTTTAATATTTAGTGGGCTGTACTCTTAATCGCATAAATTCCCAACAGATCCATCAATACGAACTGATTCTTGGCACCTCCTTCCGCCGAGCCACGCTCACGTGGGGAGTGGTGGCCACCGGATCCTTATCAGGTGATCTGGTCCCCAATTAGTAAACTTGGTATAAGATAACGATCTTCGGAAAAGGAGCACCGTCGCAGGCCCTTACTCCGAGCCGTTCTGCTGTCAGATAACCTGCCGATGTATCTGTTGAGATTGGTGCCTTTAAGAATAGTAACTGTTTTGATTGTGTTTTTTTTTTCGCCGTATAATCTTTCAAGTATCTTTCAGTCATAATCGCCGCACGTACTCGCATCCTCTACAGAATATTCAACTGTCCCGTGACCCAAGGTGTTAACAACGTGATAAGGGTTGCGTATGATCAATAAGGAGTGCGGTACTGCGTGAACAATATTGAGTATAATCATTCATTAACGTTAAGGTTTTCTTAGCATAGTATTTGCATGTTTTAACGACTCTCTCTCTCACTAACAACCATCGCGTTATGCGGGATCCATGTGCAGTTGTCAAAGTGAAATCAGACAATCGTTGATGATACTGTATTGATGCCGTATTGACGTTCCGGGATTGAGAGTTCGCATACTATATCATAGTTAAGGTTGAATTAGTAATAAATTGATCAATACAGAAGTGGTTGTGTGATTCTTTCCTGAAATCTATGCATAAGATCTGCTTCTGCGTTGAGATTTGAACTTGGTGACCTTAATAAACACACTAATACATACTCAGTAAATGTTAAAGCGATAACGGGGTGAACCGGGGTCTGGTTATCATAACGACTTGCGTTATCATAATTACACCCACTCGCATAATTAATACGATTACCTCTCGAATTGGCATAATTAAAATGTGCGTAATTACATAATTAACATATTTCCGGATAATTACACATTTGGCCAAATTTCATTAATTATTATTATTTCCACTGAATATTCATAACCCACACATACAACATAATAATTTCACCCACGCACGCATACAACATAACAAATTTTCATACCCAACATATACAACAGCACTCCGCAAAGGATTGATGACGAGCGCTACGCAATCCCAACCCCCTTTGTCTCTCCTTGCCTGGCGCCAACACGATCTGTCGCGTGCGCGCTCTGGTAGTCCGGTGTTCATTCACCGCGGTTCAGAGGTCGCAACCGGGTACCCGATACCCGTACCCTGGTGCGGCTGGGTACGGGTACGGGTAAGCCGTGAGTCACTGGTGAGTAACCGTTTGTCACTCATTTGCCAACGTCTTGTCTCTTCTCACAATTCAAGTTCCTGGAATCAACCCACCTGCGCCTGCAACATGGCTTCATCCCAGAGGTCGCAATCGGGTACCCGATACCCTACCCGTACCCTACCCGTACCCGTACCTTACCCGATACCCATACCCTACCCGATACCCGGCCGGGTACGGGTAGCCAGGCATCAGGTAGGGTACGGGTACCCGTTTGCGACCCTGGTGTGGTTTCTCAGGGCGCGATGGGGAGGTCATCTGGAAACGGGGGAGGCATTGATTTTACACGCCGCAAATTGAGGGGTTTCGTTAGACTGCGTTTCACTGCACCGCGGTGGAATTAGTATTCTGTGCCGGGCATTGGTTTAATTAACGTGGATGGTTTGCTGGTATTATTATCGTTGTCATATTTCGGGCCACAGAATTGTTCCCATCCTCGAGCAGCACCGCGGTGGGATGACTGGAGTTGTTTGAACTGCGCAGGCTGTCTTTGTATGTACCTTGAACTTATTTTCCACCGTATGTAGCCAACCGTGCTAATCGGTGGTGCGGGGGAAGGACAACAACACTAAACACAAAACGCAGTTCCGAGGAAATGAGTTTTCAATTCGGATTTAAAAGTGCACAGCTCCAGTGGCTTCCTAATATCCGATGGAAGAGAGCGTTCCAGACGGACACAGCAGCGCATCTGAAAGCATGCGATGCAGTGACCGTCTTTGTTCTTTGCGGCTGCTGTGCTACAGTATGTGGCTGGATCTCCGTCGTGTTTTGGGGTTGTGTCACAGTGTCGTTGTTGGGGCACGATGTCCGACGTTTCACTCCACGTGCTGCTGGGAGCGTCTTCGACAACACGTGGTACACTCTCCTGAACCAGTCTGTTACATCGATGGCTTCACATTAGCAAAGTACTTAAGGCAACACATTAATTTTAGAAACAAAAAGTCAAAGAGAGTCCCCGCTAAAATGAGCATTGGGGCATTTATGCTCATCTCCAGAAGTTGCAATTCCACATTCCCTTGACGGGGGCGAGTTTATCCATAGACAATGTTGACATATTATTGGTTCTTTCTGTAAAGTCACGTAGAATGGAAATAATAAAATAATAAAAATAAAACATAATAAAATAATTCTCACGACGTTTCGGCCACAACGCAAGCAGCCGTCCTCAGGTGGAGAACAGGTCTGTCGAGAAGACAGAGACTTGCGTTGTGGCCGAAACGTGAGAATTATTTTATTGTTTTATTTTTATTATTTTATTATTTCCATTCTACGTGACTTTACCGAAAGAACCAAGAAGATGAATCCCTGCAGTCACGAAAGCTTTAACTCGAAATGTTGACATCTCTGGAACAAAGTGGTAGACATTCTGAGCGAGCCCAGAGGGGATGTGTGCCGAGTCTACCCCCCTCCCCCGCCCCCCAAACAAGATTTGAAAGTCGCTACTTTCCGATTGTGAGCCGCTCGCTCTTATCGCTCGACCAACCACGCGGCCGGATGTGTTTTTTTTTCTTCTCTTCTCTCTCTAACCATTAATAAACAGCGGTTAGAGAAAAAATATATATAAATACCGAACATGCGTTTAAGAGGATCTAAATATTAAAAATGCAACGGCGTAAATCGATGGGGTGCATTTTTCATTTAAGAGGCAGAGTGAACGAGGCGGTCGAGACGTCTGTCCCGACGGCTGCACGGAGCTCCACCACAGTCCTTGGCAATCTTCGTCTCTCGCTCGTCGTACATATATATTTATTTATATGTCTTTTTAAATAATCAGCTATCAAGGCCCACTTTACATTGATTGCAACTTTCCAAAGAGCCATTTTCAACAATTTCGCTGGCACTCGAAGCATCGCCGGCAATCGCTCTCCGCAGGCGGCCCCTGACAATTTGCAATCAGGCGACAAAAGTGTGGCGGGCCCTAACGAGCATCACAGAGTTGACCTAAACTACCCCCCGCCCCCCCCCCCCCCCACAATTTGTGGAGATTGGTGGCCACCTAATAGCCGGTCAATTGCCTGAGCCCGAGGCGAGGGAACGGGGTGCTCGCAGGTGGCTGAACTTTGTGGTGATAAAGTGGCTCCCCAGGGCGCCGCGACTCGTCGTGTAGTTGCGCCAAGCAACAAAAAACCCAACAACCACGCTTCAAGGGAGCGCGCCGTCACGCGAAGGCTGCGTGTTGTGAACGACGAGAGAGCTGAGATGGATGGACCAGTGGGGGGTCCTTATTCGTTGGGAGGGGGAGTGGGCAGGGGGAGTGGAGTGGGAGAGGGAGGGGGGCGAACGAGTGCTCCGGGCGATGTGCCGTCAAGTGAGACGAGCGGGCGGGTGAGCGAGCGAGCCTGCGAGTGTGGGTGGCTGAACAAACGGATGAGCAAGCGGTAGGAGAGTGAATGGGCGAGTGGGGCAGGCGGGCGAGTGAGCGAGGGGGCGGGCGGGTGAGCGAGCGAGTGAGTGAGCGAGCGAGCGGATGAGTGAGTGAGCGGGTGAGTGAGCGGGCTAGCGAGTGAGTGAGCGAGCGAGCGGGTGAGTGAGCAGGCTAGCGAGTGAGTGAGTGAGCGGGTGAGTGAGCGGGCTCGCGAGCGGGTGAGTGAGCAGGCTAGCGGGTGAGTGAGTGAGCGAGCGGGTGAGTGAGCGGGTGAGTGAGCGAGCGGATGAGTGAGTGGGTGAGTGAGCTAGCGGGTGAGTGAGCTAGCGGGTGAGTGAGCTGGCGGATGAGTGAGTGGGCTAGCGAGTGAGTGAGCGAGCGAGCTAGCGAGGGTGACTCACACTGCGGGAGCACGAGGGCGGTGCGGCTACGCACGGCGCCGTGGCGGTTCGCGGCCAGGCAGCTGTAGGCCGTGGCGGTGCGCCCCTTCCTGCGCGTGGCCACCACCAAGGTGCCGGCGGCCTGCACCGAGTGGCGGCCGTCGGTCAGCTCCACCTCGGAGCCGTTGGAGAACCACCTGGAGGTGGAGACAGCGAGGGAAGAGGCAGGGAGAGTGTGAAGTTCCGGCTCTCAGATGGGAATAAAACCAGCCCCCATAATGTGACCTATTTTAAAGTGTGGTGGGGGGGGGGGCACCACAATCTAAAGGTGGCGGGGGGGGGGGGGGGGCAGGATGGCACAGACCGTGTGAGACAAACAACAACGTAATGATGCTGCAATCTGCGTGTGTGTCTATCGTGCATTCGGCTTTCACCCGCCGTGAGTGCGCTAGGAACGGCTTAGAACGCCCATCGCTTAATTGTGCCATTGTCGCGTTGTGTCCCGCTCCCTCCCAACCATCGCAGACTGTAAGTGTCCATCACCTTCACCACGAAAGACACCCGCAGCAGAGCAGTCATTGCGTGTGAGCAGTCATTACGTAATGGTCTCTGTCCCAGTCGCCAATGGAATCCCATCACATTTTAAACCGATGAAAGCCTGTAAAAAAAGAACCTACCACATGAAATTTGTCTATGCAATTTCATTTGTTTAAAGTCTACCTCTGAGATATTATACTCTTTGGTTTTTTCGGTAAAGTCACGTAGGTACAAAATAAAATGAAATAAAATAAATGTAAACAACTAAATTAAATCACGACGTTTCGGAGCAAGTGACTTTGGCTGTGACGGTTCCACCTGAAGACGGAAGCTTGTGTTGCCTCCGAAACGTCGTAATTAAATTTAGTTTTCATTTTTTTTTACTTTTACCTTTTTACCGACGTGACTTTACCGAAAAAAACCATAGAGTATAAATCCTTGCAGTCACGAAAGCTTCAAATCTAGAACTCTGAGATATTAACAACATCGTTGGACCGTCATACGACAAACGTGACCCTTGCTGGTTGGACCAGAGTTCACTTTAAGAGATCTCAGAAGTAGTTTTGTGATATCAATTTCCTCTAACACGTGGCGGTGGTGGAGGGGCCACACTGGTCGTCGGGGGGATTCTGCATTCATTATCTTTTTAATGACACGGCACCGAGAGCGAGCGCAAATTGGGAAATAATTGGGAGAAAGGATGAAATATAAACATGTACTTTGCATAAAGCTCAGCCTGCAGTCACAGAATGGCATTCAAGGCCCACATTTGAACTCCGGCCAATCCTCTATTTGTCTCGCCTTTCCCGCACGCTGCTGACTCTTTTAATCGATTAGCAAGAGGCTCCTGCGAACGCCGCATTTGATTCATCAGCGAGACGCGCCGAAATGAGAGAGTGAGCGAGAGAGTGAGCGAGAGGTGGGGGTTTGCATAAAGCAAAGTTATTATAAAAAAAAAAAATTACGAGATGATGAACGAAGCAAAGTGCCGACTACACCGAGCATCTTCTTGTTTCCACTGATCGTAAAAAAAAAAAAAAAGAAAAAAAAATTAAGAACTCCGGCCAAGATATGCATAACTGTGCCCCGCACTTAGGAAATAACGGACACAAATCCCGTTTAAGAGCACTCTGCTTAATCCCATTTCTGCTTACATATAAACAGGCGACGGTGGATTTATATTAATCCGCCGAAAAATATTGGCGAAGGGTCTGAAACCGCACAAGAGTTTGCGAATTTCCATGAAAACCCGTGGCAGCAGGTGATGGTGGTTCAGGGCTTCTTCATCGCCAGAGGCAGTCTCAAGAGAGAGAGAGGGAGGACCGCTCTACACCGACACATGTATGTGTGTGTGTGCGTGTGTATGTCTGCCGTGAAGGGAGTGGTGGCGCAGTGGTTAGCGCAGTGTGTTAAACATGCGCTGTGACCCGAGTCGCATTCCAGCGTCGGTGACGAAAATCTGCGCCAGTCCCTGGGTCTCCCCTAGGTCGACTCAGTTTAAAAACAGTACCTCGTGCGATGTGTAGTACTCGCCGCTCGGGAGACAAATGCGGCCGGGCGTGGTGCTGGCCACCCACCCCCTCGTGTGCCCTGACGGCCTTCATAGGTGCTCGCTAACAGCACTTGCCCCAACAGTCTGTTCATGCTATAGGGGAGATCTTTGTCTTTGTGTCTGTCTACCATGTGGGGAGCGGTGGTGCAGTGGTTAGCGTAGCGCGCTACGAAACCGGTAACCTGAGTTCCATTCCCGCTCACGGTCAAAATCGGTGACTAATATCTGGACCGGTTCTTGGTCTCCCCTAGGTTGACTCAACCTTAATGACTACCGAATGCGATGTACAAATATCTGTATTAGGGAGACAAAGGCAGCCGGGCGCGGTTCGGGCACCACCACCTCCTCGTGGATCGTGATGGCCTTATGAGGTGCTCGCTACGGCACTTGCCCCAACAGTCTGTTCAAGGCTATTATTGAGATCTTCGTCTTTTGCTTTGTCTGCCAAACCTGATCGACCCAGATTTGCAGCAGGGATATATTTTAGCCCAGTGTGAGTCTCTGTGGGTATAAGAGGCACCTGTAGCTCAGTGTGAGTCTCTGTGGGTATAAGAGGCACCTGTAGCTCAGTGTGAGTCTCTGTGGGTCTAAGAGGCACCTGCAGCTCAGTGTGAGTCTCTGTGGGTCTCAGAGGCACCTGTGGCTCAGCGTGAGTCTCTGTGAGTCTCAGAGGCACCTGCGGCTCAGTGTGAGTCTCTGTGAGTCTAAGAGGCACCTGCGGCTCAGTGTGAGTCTCTGTGAGTCTAAGAGGCACCTGCAGCTCAGTGCGAGTCTCTGTGAGTCTAAGAGGCACCTGCGGCTCAGTGTGAGTCTCTGTGGGTCTAAGAGGCACCTGTGGCTCAGTGTGAGTCTCTGTGAGTCTAAGAGGCACCTGCAGCTCAGTGCGAGTCTCTGTGGGTCTAAGAGGCACCTGCAGCTCAGTGTGAGTCTCTGTGGGTCTAAGAGGCACCTGCGGCTCAGTGTGAGTCTCTGTGGGTCTAAGAGGCACTGGTGGCTCAGTGTGAGTCTCTGTGGGTCTAAGAGGCACCTGCAGCTCAGTGTGAGTCTCTGTGAGTCTAAGAGGCACCTGCAGCTCAGTGCGAGTCTCTGTGAGTCTAAGAGGCACCTGCGGCTCAGTGTGAGTCTCTGTGGGTCTAAGAGGTACCGGTAGCTCAGTGTGAGTCTCTGTGGGTCTAAGAGGCACCTGCAGCTCAGTGTGAGTCTCTGTGGGTCTAAGAGGCACCTGCAGCTCAGTGTGAGTCTCTGTGGGTCTAAGAGGCACATGCAGCTCAGTGTGGGGCTCCGTGGGTGTGGCAGGCAGCACCTGTATGTGGGCGGCGGGGTCCCGCTCGCGTTGCACCGCAGGGCGACTTGACGGTTGCCACCCCCCTCCAGCTGGTGCAGGACGTCCCCCGGCTCCTCCACAAACACGGGGCCCTGCCCTGCTGTGGTCGCCACGGAGCCTGCGTAGCGCGCAAACGCAAGAGGCGCCCTCGGTCAAGACGACGACTCTCGACGATCCAGCCCGCGCGTCGTTCCATCTCCATTTGCTATTGTCGGTGCAATCGCTCACATTGCGTCTCGACGCTTTAATTCGTACTGTACTTTTTTGTTCCCTTTTGTCTACGTCCACGTTTCCCGATCCGCGTGTGTGAATCGTGGGCAATGTTCAGCGATGGTCAACGTCGTAGGCACGCTACGCGAATGTTCCAGAGCAGTGGTTCTTCTTAACCAGGGGTGCACGTTGTCTCCTCTGGGGTGCGAGATGCCCTTTCTGGGGAGTGTGATACATTGCCAGTTTTTTTTAAATCCTTTATATTAAGTTCGCTTGCTTGCGTGCTTGCTTGCTTGCTTACGACCGTGCCAATCTTTCGGTCGTTTTTTAACCCACTTCCCGTGATCCAATCGAGCTGACATTTTCCACACAGACTCGTTGTACGAGACAATTAATGTTCGTGAATTTTTTTTCTCCAAAATTTTACACTGTTTAGGGAAAACAAATTAAATATTTAATTACCAATTGCTTAATACTGGCAGACAATCATCTGACCCATAGGTGGCAGCCATCTCAAGCCAGAGGACGAGAGGACTCTAGCCGCCATGCATATAAAGGATTTATAGTGAAAAACTTTGTTTTTACTGGTTATGCTTATTTTATAATGTAAATCGTCGCATCGCAAATTAAGCACGACAACGCAATTACATATTCTTTGGGTCTTTCGGTAAAGTCACGTAGATAGGTTCAAAGAAAATAACAAGAAACTACGACGTTTCGATCGCAACACAATCGGTCGTCTTCAGGAAAAGGGGGTGAGCTTCTAAAGGCAAACTGTTCATAAAGGTTTAAAATGGGCGTAGCCCAAATGTGAATATACGTGTAAAAAAGTACGCGTAAATGTATGCGATATAACCCCAAAAAAACCCTGTATTGTGGATGAAATTGGTCGCGACAGCCTCCTCCTACTTGTGTTACACATTGGGCAAGGAGTGGGAAAACCTGCGGCTCTTCTAGGCACTGCTTCGTCACCAATGGCAGAGCCAGGATTTTCAGGTAGAGGGGGCAACCCCCTCCAGCAATGAACAATGCCAGGAGTTGTTAGTAAGTAAGGACTTGTCCCTTGCTTTTTATTCGACGACGCGTGTGCGGCGATGGCGCAGCCATCGATCGAGGGTCGAATTCGAACCGCGTTGTGTGATCGGCATCGCGCTCGCTGAAGGTGAATGCCTTCAGGGAAGTCGTGGACTGTATACGCAACTGCGCACAATTCTGTGAGTCACTAATAACTGCTTTGCCGTTACTTATTGCCAATTATGGACTCAGACTATTGTCCTATCATCTCATAGAGTCCCTGGCACATAATAATATACTACACAGTGGCAATGGGGGTCGCAAAATGCCGATTTATTACTAATAAACCCCAATGATCCGATCGAAATGAGGGATTTCGATCGGATCATTGAGGGGGAACGTGCCACCCCCCCCCCCCCACACTGGCTCCCCCAGTGTTCGTCACGTTGTTTATTTAGGTCCACCGTCTCGTATTCACCACACCGTGCATTGCGGCTCTTGACATATTGAGTTTTTTTTGTTGCGAATTCGACAAAAAATGTCTTCGCTTGTTGTTTTGGTTTGCCGACCTCTGCTCTAGAGGCATGCGCGTGAAACTTCGGAGGTGAGGCTGTAGATTAGCACGTACTGAAGATGCCTGCTATAGCATATGGCAAGCACAGTGCGTGTATGTGTTAATTACGCGTCCAGTCATACGTCTGTGAGCCATGTGATGATTATTATAGCTGATTGAGTCCATTGCGGGCCTAGTGGAACGATGCACGTTCTTGGCGCTGTGTGGTCGGGGTGGTGGTTATCGTTAAAGTCCCGCTTGTTTAATACAGAGCGACCAGTCCCACTCTGCTTGAACGTCAACTGATACGAACGTGTATTTAAATACAACACGCATTTTCTCATCTGCATCGGCAAAATTGCCAAGCGATATTTGAGGTTCGTGGCGGATTATAAACTCAAAGGCCGGCGTAAGGTGAAAAACATTGACATTTACTGTGCGTGCAAATACAATAAACTGACGATTAATTACCCAGGCAAGCCACTCAATACTCTCTCTTCAGGAGGGTGCTGCTACGTTAGGATGTTTGGCTAATGCCGTTAAGAACTACAGCAACAACAATAATAATAAACACGATTCATAACGCGCACAGATATCGCGGATCGGATGCCATGTTCAATAGAGAACGGCAGCTTGGACAGGTGAGACTGTGCATGGGTGAGAGAGTGAACGGGTGAGAATCCTCAGCCTGGTGAGAAGCTGAATCGGTGACAGCTTAAATGAGTGAGAGCCTGAATGGGTGAGGGCCTTGAGCTGATCTTTGAATGGGTGAGTATTTGAGTATTTGCTTTGCGGAGACGAACCAGAGAACCTGGAGAAAACCCACCCACGCGAACATCCGACTGGGTGACACTCAACACTGCCATCTACTGGCCACATTTGTAGTCCGACGCCTATAACACCTGGCAAGCTCTGGCGATGGTGGTCACCCATGCGATTACTAACCAGGCTCAACTCTCTGCTCAACTTCTGAGATCGCAACATTCAGAAGATGTGCCCAGCAAAAAAAAAAAGCCTGAATCAATACAACTCGCAAAAAGAGCTGGAAATGACTCATGCATCGTTACGCAATAATCAATGCGTAATCACGTAACTGTTTAACAAGTAGAATAAACATTTGGGATGTGGAGACGTGAATCGACGTGAGCGGTGAAAGGGCTGAGCAGTTGTTATCGGCGAGCGCCTATAATGTCACACACGCAATTTTCATTTCGTGCCGTTTGGGCGTTTGTAAGTCAGGCCGAAGGGCCATGGCTCCTGTGTGTGTGCTAAATTTCCAATAATGGGAAACGTTATTTGTTTTGGTAAAATATTCCATCGGTGGTCACAGCTGGCGGGGGTGCTTTTGCTGGGAGGGGAGACGCCCTAGGAAATGAAATGTGGCCGAGGATCAGAAGGGTTATAGGTGAGAGTCCAAGTGTCAGCCGTCCCTAAGTGGCGCTCCTGATTGCGCTGGGGATGAGTTAATCACCCGAGGGATGGCATCTGACACGCGCGTACGCAAAGACAAAGGTCCCCCCTCCACCTCCCGCAGGCTGTGGGGGCAAGTGCTATTAAGGGAAGACCTTATGGTGGCCGGGACGACAGACGAATGGGGTGGGTGGTCAACACCATGCCCGGCCGGGCTTTGTCTCCCCAGTGCTGATGTGTTAGGGCAGTAGGTATTCGTTTAAGGCTGAGTTGACCTAGGGGAGGACCATGACCGGTTCAGAAAGTCGCCACTGATAACCGCGACCTAGCATTGTCGCCGCGTTGCCCGGCGCCAACCAATGTACCACCACTCCTCTTTGGCATTGTACACAGTATGTACACAAACATGCACCCACGTACACACAACGACAAAGATCACCCCTATAGCCTTAACAGATTCCTGTGGTAAGTGCTGTTTGCGAGCACTTATTAAGATCGACACGGCATACAAAGAAGGCGGTGGCTGGCCACCCCAGGCCCCCCGCCGCCTTTGTCTCGCCAGTGCTGATGTGCTACACACTGCACTTGACCATCATTCAAGGCTGAGTCGACATAGGGGAAGCCCAGGACCGGTTCAGATATGTGTGACTGATGCTGGCTGTGAGCTGGAAACAAACTCGGGCACGCACACGTACACACCCGATGCCTACGCACAAGCGTACGCACAGGCACCACACACGCACACACACACGTGTAGACACATTTCCCAAAATAAATCTTTAAAAAAACTCACTCCATTAATTTTAGTAAATCATCCGCGACGCCGTAATTGACTCACTTGAGCCCAGGCTGCAATTAAATCCTGGAAACGCGGATCTCAAGGAATAAACAAGAGAACTGATTTTGTGCCATTCCTTCCTATCATAATATCACATGGATGGGCAGGCAGACAGACATCTCGTACTGACAGACAACCAGGTAGACATATTCCCAGGCGGCGAGACGTATAGACAGACATCTAGGCAGATAGATTGACATGCATATAGCTAGGCAGACAGACTGACAGACATGCAGAGAGACAGACATACAAACAGACAGCCAGGCAGACATTCAGACAGGTCGACGAGACAGACACAGACAGGCAGACAGACGTCTAGACAGACGTACAGATAGACATGTCTGTATATTTATCAATCCAGGAAAGAGCCCACGAGATACACCACGTGTCTCCGTTGTTGACAAGCGAATGGGTAAGTTAATAAAGTAGCAGCTACAATATAAACAAAAATAACATCTAAAAGAAACTGGCCAAGCACGCCAATGCAGGACCCTCATGAAAAAGAGACTCAGTAACCGTAATCCGAGGAATAAACCAATAACAATGATTCCCTTTATTGCTTCGATCATCCCAAAGGCAGAGATCCCCCGTATAGTCTTTAACAGACTGTTGGGGCAAGTGCCTGTAAGCGAGCACCTATGGAGGTCGGCACGGCACGCGAGGAGGTGGGGGTGGCCTACACCACGCCCGGTCAGCGCACCAGGTTACTCATTTGAGGCTGAGTCAACCTAGGGGACGCCCGAGACCAGTGAAAATAATTGCCGCTATCGTTGGTCATGAGCGCGAGTCGAACGGCAATTGCCGGGTTTGTCGCGGAGTGTGCTACCGCTCCACACCGCTCGTTCTGTCACACAACACAACAACAACACAACAACAACACAACAACACACACGCAAATGGAGCACCTTCTGACGACAAGGCTCGGGGTGGATTGCGTTCGATCGCACAGCGGACTCTGCACCAGAGATCGCGCCTTTGTCCGGCAATGAGCGCGGACATCCAACACCTGCTGCGCGATGGGTCAGGCGAGAGCTCTTGCCTCCAGAATGAATTGCTCCGTCGTTAACGAAGTCAAATTCAATGTCTTACCCCG